CACACAGCTTCACTGACTGCCATCCGTGCAGGGGGTTTGTGAAATCATCCAAGTTTGGGGCAGCAACCACTTCTCAGGATAATGATACAGTCTGGATCAAGCTAACATTTTTGAGAAAGATTTTCTTCAATCTGCAATGGTCACTAAGAATCAGCCTACCCATGACTTCATAAGCACAATTCTAACAAAGTATTTCTGTTTTTTTTTTTTTTTATCTTCATGGAAAACAAACCTAAGCATGTCATGTGTCACAGTGTTTTTATTCTGTGAATCTTATTAGGTTTATAAGCTTTAGCATCCCTCTAATTCTGATTAAAATGCTAACTCAGCACAATTAAATGCCATCTGTACTAGGTGTTCTGAGATCTATTTTGGGTGCATGCAATACCTAAAAGTATGCAATTCCATGGTTAGTCCATTCATAAGCAATTTTCTAATTGCAGATTCTATTACTACTATATGAAATTTTTAAATTTAAAATTATTTTTATTATTCTTAATCTATCAATAATAATCCAGAGTCGTTTTATCAGAAATGTTAAATAGAAGTTATGAAGATGTAATAAATTAGGAGAAAGGTAAAAGACTACAATAGTAGTGATTTCCGGTAACCCCATATCATCTAATATATGAAATTAAAATGTCTTCCTTTTATTCTGATAACAAAAATTAAAACACACGACTACCAAAAATTGAGAAAAAACAGAAATAAGAAAATTAACAAGTCTGATATTCCCCTCCACCCCCAAATTTTATCTTTACAACATTGAAGTATTTTTAGGATGAATGTTTATTGAAGACAAACTACCATCAAGCTCACAAGTGTGAATATATTGAATATATTTCTTCACATATACATACCTGTAAACAAATACCTGGCGTCTAAAACATTTTGGTAAGTTTGTTCCAAATGAAATGGTATTCAGTTTTGCATATGCTAAAACCATTTTGTATCTCATAAATTCTGGACTCTGAACTTAAATGCACCCCCAAGAAACTGGCCACAAAAACTGACTAATTTCGGATGACTTTTCTCTCTGTCTCTTATGT